TCCTTCTGCAAATCCCTGAGGAGCCTCCATTTACCTGCTGAGGCTTTAATACTCCACCAAGGCCACCTCCATGTGCAGAAGCCCTCATCCCCCTGGAAGGTACTGAGTGGCCACACAGAGCTATCCCACCAGGTAGACAGCATCCTTACCTCGCCAGTCTCTGAAATCCATACCAGCTCTGCCTTCTGCACAGACGCTCTCCTCAGCCTCTATGACCACTACACCCAATGCCAGGACATCCACAACCAGGCAATGATGCTCTCCTTACCCTACTAGACACTAAGATCCCACACTGAGGTCCACCATAGGAATACACTTTAAACATGCCTGGTCTACCCTCTGCAATGATGCTCCTTTAAACCATCTATGTCTCTGAATCCCAGCCCAATATGGAGCCAACACTATGCACAGGTGCCCTCTTTACCACAAATACTCTCCTCACCAAGCAGATGAGCCCGCATCACTCTGCAAAGGTACCCTCCTCAATAAGCACAGTTGCCCTCCTCACCCTGCATGGATGCACTCCTCACCATGCACAGGTACCCTCCCACCTATGCATGGGTAACCTCCTCACTCTAAACAGGTGTTCTACTCTGTAGGCAAAGTTTTCTTGTCCTGACTGCCAGTCCCCAAATAACAGACAGCCACTTCCTAAATAACTGACTTGGGGACTTAATACAAATTATAAATGCTCCACCAATAGCTCAGGCTTGTTAATAACTAACTTTTACAACTTCACCCATTTCTATTAATCTATGTGCTTCCCTGAGGCCCATGGCTTTTTACCTCTGTCCCATTTTGTGTTCAACTCATTCTTCTGGAGACTCCTCTGATTCCACCCTTCCTCATTCCATCATTATCAGGTCAGCTTTACCACCTAAATTTATCTTGTTAAGATATTGGTCAGTCAGTTTGTTTATTGAACCAATCATACTGACATATCTTCACAGTGTACAAAACGATTATACCACATCACTCTTCACACTGCATAGGTGTCCTCCAACTCTGCACAGATGCCCTCCTCACTCTGCACAGGTGTGATCCTTACCCTTCTGAATACCCAGTTCCTCCATCAGGACCCTCTCCTCCCCTTTTCCAGTTCTGACTCCCCACAGGAAATGACCTAATGAGTTGATACTCTCCTCACAATGCTGGAGCACAGACTCCCTACAAGTGACCATTCCACATCATAGCTGCCCCCTCACCTCTCAGGCTCTGAAGTCTCACACCAGACTGTTGCTTGTAGACTCTCTCTTGAATCCAGACACTTTCTCACCAGCATGCTGACATTCCCTCACTGCTTGGGCTCCAGTTCTGCTGTCAGGCCAGCCCTCAGCACTGTTACACTGACCCAGGTCCAGATCATTGCTTCCCCACACCTGACCCTTCCATAGACACCTGCCTTGCCCTCCCTACACCATTCTTTATTCAGTAAGTTACTAAGTAACTGAAGTACTCCAAGGAAAGAAACAAGATATGACAGAATATGAACTCCTGTGTAATTATTAAACCAATTGACTATTTCCATGGTGATAAATATACCTACACACCACTTCATTCCAGTCACAGATGTTCAGGGGTCTTACCTTCTCAGCAAAATATATTTCTAAAGCTATCATATATCACATACAATATTAACATCATGCACAATATTCAAGTGGCTTAAACAACAAATATTTCTCATTTGTGTATGTCCTAAGGGTTTGGCTATGGGTCACTGAAATGCTGGTCATCTTCTTCATACATATATCAATTAGGAACCAGAATCATAGAGAATCACAGCTTCTTTTAAGTTGAATGTGTAGTATCCTCCTGTATTTAGATAACCAGATTTATTCTCATCCTATGGGCCAGTGAAAGTGACCTGGACAAATCAGTCAATTAGGGTTGACAACATACTCTATATAAAGGAAGATGGGTCAAAGGCTTTAAAGCAGTCCTTTTACAGAGGAGTATGAAAGTACTTGGGAACCAGCATAGCATCTACACCCTTTACTGTTTACTCAGGAGATATATGTTATTGAGTTTTAAAATGGAGCATTAGTCCCAGTG